TGGAAAAGCGATTTTGGACGAGTTTTCCGCTGGCGTCACGCCAGTAACCGCTACGGTAGATACGGCTGCAAATAAAGCGATACAAGCATCACGGTCGGACATTTGTGGGCGTCCGGCAGTTGTTGTAGTTTGGTAGGGCGCTATAGAAGTACTTTCTTTGGCAAAGGCGCCACGCAGCGCCTGCTCAGCGGCGTCGAATCTCGTCCTGCTGGACGTATTAACCCTACACGACTGGGGGATTCATCGTACCACTTTCCTTCTAATACAGGCGCAGTTCGGCTTGGGAAGCTCCGTGGAAAAACTCACCCATGCCGTTGCGGCACGGTCACGGCGGCGGCACGGCGAAGCAAGAGACGATGGCTTGCTCCTCCGCCACTGTGCTCCAATCAGCAGCCGCTTTTATGTGGAAGGAAAAAGAGGAAAAAAGAGAGAGAAAGAGGATTGAACAGATAGTGGATGCTTACAGGTGAGTTAGTGGTAGTGGTGAGAGAATACAGAAAAGTCTACTATCAGCAAATGGCAAAACTGGCGAAATGGTTCCCTTCGATTGTGAAAACGACGCGAACAGCTCTTACGCGACGTTTAAGGTAAGGCTGGCGAGTTGCCAACAGTTGATCCTATAACGATATAACGGTAATTGCAGGGAACTATTTTTGCCGGTTACTGGAGTAATTTTCCCTAGTAGTAGTCTTTTCTGTATTCTCTCACCACTACCACTAACTCACCTATACGCATCCACTATTTGTTCAATCCTCTTTTCTCTCTTTTTCCTTCCACATAAAAGCGGCTGCTGATCGGAGCACAGGCGCAGGCCATCGCCCTTCGCTCCGCCCTGCCGCCGCGTTGACGTCGAAACCGCGCCGCATACGAGCCTGTGTGAGTTTTTCCCGCCTCCGGGCTTGGGAGGCACCAAATGGTACTCACTAGTGCTTGTGGACCACCCTGTGAGGACCTATACTTCCCTAACGCTGGAGTGGCTAATTTGTGCCGTTTCACAGCTTCGGAAGAGTTACATGTCACTCCCAAAACGGACCAAATATGGGCACTGCTGGGAACCTGGCGAAAGTTCCAAATGCTCCTCTCAATCAAGCAGTGCCTGATGCAAATGAAAATTCCGTGATCTCTCTTGCACAATAGATAGAGTTGAATCGCTGCTCTAATATCTCACATATTTCCAGCAAATGATTTCAGGTGATTGGACGATCAAACGAAGCCAAAGTGACCATAAACGAGCTAATGCGGCAGTGTCGAATGCTTCGTGAACTACACCATCCATGTGTTGTGAAGTTTTATGGAGCTTGCCTTATCTCACAACCATGTTGCTTTCTAATGGAGTACCTCTCAGGTGACATCTAAATCTTCTCAGGAATATTCTGGAAAAATTCGTTGGAAATGGTCCCATTTCAGAAGGACCACTGACGATTTTCTCGTTAAGCGCCGCGGGACGTTGAAGCGCGACGAGCTACTACAGATGGTCATGAGTGCCGGTTGGGGATTGGACTTTCTGCACACATCTGGCATTATTCATCGGGATATAGCAGCCAGAAAGCTGTTCTTACGATAAACAACTGGTAAGCAAAGAGCTTTTCAAAACAGGTGTTGGTCCTGCTCCCAATGGGGAAGGGATCGCAAGAAACAAAGATCGTTACGTGAGTTACAGGTCGCTTTTTCAACCGCGGTGATGGGCGTGTCAGGGGCTCTACAAGTTTGCGAGGCGACGCCAGTCCGTTTTCCACCAACTGCAAGGTCATTTTTCGCCTTCACAACTAAGTGGAGAACCTGGCAGGTGGCTAAATCTAGCCCTCACTTGACAGCGGCCTCAGTAATCCGTAGCCGAGCAATATTGTAAAACGCTTGCAGGCTAGAAAACCACGTAGCGAAACGCTTATGATGTCCTTTATGTTAAGGTCAAAATCAGCGGCTTTGGTCTTGCAAGAAAGACAAATGCTTACGTTCAGAAGTCGGTGAGACGCATGATGATTAAGTGGATGGCACCCGAGACGGTGGCTACATTAAGATTTTCTCAGAAATCTGACGTCTATATGTACGGGGTAAGTGGGCCGATGTAGGGACCCTCTCACATTGATATTGACCAAATCACCACTGAATACTTGCTCGGGTATTCTCCGCGGCAGGCAAACAGTAACCCAAAGGGACCTTTCTCTTCTTCCCTCTCTTTCTTCCCGAAGTTCTGTGGTCACACGATCTTCAGAAACTTTGAACTTTCTTGAGTAATATCATGGTCCATGCGACCAACGTGGTCAGTTCCTCTGATTTTTCCACACAGTCCTCATTCCATCACCTTCAGATTCTTATCTACGAAATATTCGCACAAAACGAACCCTATGAAGGGTTATCGAATCAAGACGTCAAACCTCTTGTGAGTAATCCCAAATTTTCAGAGCAGTCCTAAGATTCCAGTCACATGTGGTTGGAACGAATTGTTCATTCCGCCGGCGGCACTCGTATCCTGGGGATCCCCGAGCGATCGTTGATAAAAATGTTTTCACTTGTCGACTTTTCTAGTTTTACCATGGCTTTCAAGGTGCGCTTGATCAGGCCCCCCCTCCCGGCTCGGTCGCATTTTTCTGGGGAAAAAGTGGAAGAATCCTAGGAAATGAAAAAGTAGTAGAAAGTTGGAAGTTGGAAGGAAGATAGTAGCTAAGATGGGGAACGGGGAAGAGGGAGGGGTCCTACCAGAAGAGGAGCTGTAAAGGAAAGTCATATTGTGCAAAACTTTTCGCAGTACGATGAGCCTGATCTCGCCTAGTTTGGCACTTACTGTCAAGAGGATAAGCCATTCTCATGACGCCAAAACTTGACCCTTTCCGTGTTGGGATATCAATTATGCGAGATTTTCTTTAGGTATTGGGAGGACGGGTAAATGAGTTTCCCGCGAAGACCCCAAAGCAACTAGCTCAATTCGTAATAGAGAAGTTGTGGCACATCGATCCCCATAAGCGACCAAGTATGGAAACTGTAAGTTTGCCGTTAAAATCGCTTCATCAATGAAGAGGATCCAAATCAGTCTTGATGGAGAGAATTTCAGGCAATTCAGTGGCTGTCTCAGTACACAGGCATCAAACTGCAGCAGGGGACTCTCGCAACTGTAAGTACTGGATCTAAAGACACAGCACGCGCTTACCCCGTTCGTAGGACTGTCCGCTTTCCCAAGTAGTCAGGTGGTATA